CTCTTCCCACTTCTGGCGGCGGGGGAATATCTTCTTCCTCTTCCTCCACCTTGAGGGGTAGCGGTGAAAACTCTTCTTTGATCTTGCATGCTGTCTGTGTTTCTTTGCTTTTCTTTGCAAATATCTTGTACACCGCTGGTTCCACTATGGTTTCTTGATGCACTACTTCTTCCGATACAGTGGTTGCGTGGAGATCTCTGGAAGACACCAGAGTTAACACAGCCCAATCTGTTGAGGTCAGTGTCGCTTTAACACTGCGGGGTCCATACGTTTCTCCATTCTTCAGATTGTAGAAATGCAGTTCATTCGCCATATAGTTGAATACATAACCCCAAACATCGCCATTTTTCAGAGTCCATTCTTCATGAAGTTCTTCGGCTGGAGGCGTCTGAACCCGGCACATATACTGCATCCGTTTCTTGATTGGCGCTCACGACGGATGGCTGTAAGTTGTCACAGGCGTCTCGCTGATTAAACCCATCTCGAGGCGTCTCTTGGCCATTTTTCTTTTTTTAAAGATGACTGGATGAGTGGAAACGACTGGCTTTTTATTTATTTATCTAACTCCACCCTCCACTGTCTTCTGACATCACAGTCAAATGAAGGGGTGTGAGGGGGACGGTGGGGGACATCAACAGCATAATGGGGCGGGCCCACCTGTCAGATTATATGCATACTAATGTAATTGAAGCAGCATTTTTTTTTCTTCTAATTTTTAATTATTTTTATTTATACATTTTTTCACACCTGTGAATACACATCACCCCCTCCTATCAACGGATCTCACACCTACTCGGGATATCACACCTACTTGCGATTTCACACCTCGACCAAATGGGAGGCGGGACTTAGCTCATTTGCATAAGTAGTAGAGGTGTGACCTGTCACATTTGTATGCATACTAATGAGACGAATGCGGCATGTGTATAACTACTAGCATCTATTGGAAATGCTTCTTTATATTTCTTCATCAAGAGACATTGAGCCTAACTGTTGTAGTCAGCCTCTCAGAATGTCAGCAATTTATCCCTCAATCTATTAGATTTACTAAAGCATATTTATAAGTTGGACTGTTTACAACATTTCACCATTTAATCATTGCCTTCTCTCTTAACTTCTCTAATGTTTAGTTTTTAATTTCTTATTGTTGTTATTATAATGTTCTTTATTTTTATTGTGAGAAGCACTACTAACAGTATTATTATTATCATCATTACTATTATTTTCTAAGATTTTCTTTGTTGTCTTTTTTATGGCTGCAGGAAGGATCATGCCAGCCCACATCAAACAGTCACATTAAAACAGTTACTAAATCAGCCTACTATCACCTAAAGAACATATCTAGGATTAAAAGACTAATGTCACAGCAGGATTTGGAAAAACTTGTCCATGCTTTTATCTTCAGTAGACTGGACTACTGCAATGGTGTCTTCACGGGTCTCACTAAAAAATCTATTAGCAAGCTGCAGCTGATTCAGAACGCTGCTGCTCGAGTCCTCACTAACACTAAGAAAGTGGATCACATCACTCCTGTTCTGAAGTCTTTACACTGGCTTCCTGTGTGTCAAAGAATAGATTTCAAAATACTGCTGCTGGTTTATAAAGCACTGAATGGTTTAGGCCCAAAATACATTTCTGACCTCCTGCTAAATGATGAACCATCCAGATCTCTCAGGTCTTCAGGGACTGGTCAGCTTTCTGTCCCCAGAGTCAGAACTAAACATGGAGAAGCAGCGTTCAGTTATTATGCTCCAAATATCTGGAACAAACTCCCAGAAATCTGAAGGTCCGCTGCAACTCTTACTACTTTTAAATCCAGGCTGAAGACTTTTCTTTTTGCCGCTACTTTCAATTGAACTATTCATATCGATGTAGTATTGTTAGATGTGCCAAGCGCAAGGACTGGTAAGACAGCTTTTATGTGTGCAGCGCCACTTGCTTGGAACAATCTACAGCTCAAATTGAAACTGAGCAATTTTATTCCTCTGAATGTTTTTAAAGCAAGTCTAAGAGAAATGCTCTTTGAAACTATGGGTATTTGTAAATGTTGATAAGTATGTAAATGTAGCTTGTAAATATGATATCCTCTATTGTTTTATGTTGTTTCATGTGGAACATAATTGCTGCAGGTCTCCCTTGAAAAAGAGATCTATGATCTCAAGGGAAAATTCTGGAAAAGTAAAGGTTTGAAATGAAAATATCTTAAACTGCACTGTAACTTTTATTCATGTATTTTTTCTTTTAATGTTTCTTTTATTATCTTTGCTTTGAATTGCCTTGTGTTGAAAGGTGCTATATAAATAAACTTGCCTGGCCTTACATTAAACCTGCCTGATTGATTTACACACCAACAATTACAAAAAGGAAAAGAGAGAGACATGAATTTCTTAAAATAGTTTGTATTCTGGTCATTGTTAGTTTCAGACAGAAATCATTTTGCAAACAGCAAATCTAACAGAATACAGTGTGCATGATTATATAAATAAATAGTGTGTATAAATAAGAACATTAACAGTGCATTGCTATGACATCCAAAGATTATGATTATAACACAGTATGCATTTGTTCTGAGTTGGAAAGTGTAGCCCACAAGGAGCTGCATTTGTTACTTCCAAAACTAAAACATATAGCAATTAAATAACCTTCACTACGAAAAATAATGCTAAAGGAAAGTGCTTACCGGAGCAAGATTAATTATTATTAGTGCAATTATTGCCTTACATCCCAATGTTATATTGTTATGCCTTGTTTAGAGTTTTGGTGGTCCTGATAATTTATTCCGGTAAATTATTCTGACCTACTAATTGACCTTTCCGAAATTATTGAGTCTATGTAAGTTTGCGGCTTGGCTCAGATCCACCAACGTCAGCAAGATCTCACCTCTACTAACTTCCCGAAGAACCAAGGTTTTAATTAACTGCTGTTTCAATTCAGACAACTCTTTTTTAATCTGTTTAAGCGATCCCGAAGGATTTTGAGATCAGTAAATGGAGTGTGCTCCTACCTAAGTGTGTGTGGCAGGGTGCAATCTTACCTTGGAAGCAGGAGAGGAGGGCACAGGTGTCTTTTAAATTATCCCAGTCCAAAAGGTGGGATCAGTTTATTTGAAGAAAAATAGGTCCAAACTAATACAGGGTTTTTACCTTCTCTCTTACAACATTATAATCATCCTAACAAAAACACCGTGCTGTGATCATGTTCAAATGAAACTTTAATTCCCAGTCCAAAAGGTGGGATCAGTTTATTTGAAGAAAAATAGGTCCAAACTAATACAGGGTTTTTACCTTCTCTCTTACAACATTATAATCATCCTAACAAAAACACCGTGCTGTGATCATGTTCAAATGAAACTTTAATTCACAGTCTTACATTTATTACCAAAATCACTAACTTTCGTTTTTAAGTATTAAACATACTATGAAAACTCACAACACCCTCTTTTCAAAACGCAAAGTTATCAAAATAGCAACAGAAAAAATTGTAAGCATAGATACATATTCAAAAACCGTCAAGAAGCATTCTCATTATGGGTTTATACAAGAATATGATTGATCATGTATGATTTATAATTAACTTTCGTTTTTTAAGTATTCACTTCATACCATGATCTCAATTAACTTTCGTTTTAAGTATTCACTTCATATGAAGATCTCAACAGCCTCCATTGCTATTTGAATGGAGGATTAACATTAATTTCATTGCACGTGTTACCCAAATCTGTAAATCACGTAAGACACCGGAGTCATTTCTCAAATGTGTGGCACTATGGCCATTGGCTGGACAGTAGCCATGACAACAGTACAAGGAAGGATGCAGTGATCGGACTGATGTAATGGCTCACTCCACTTGAATCTGAAAGGAGGAGAACGAAACAAACTTTAGTTAAACAAGTGTGCATCTTTTGACTGCACTGCTGATTAAGTAGCTCAGTTTAACTTACAAATGCCATTCAGGTCGAGGAAGCTGCCTTCAATGTCGAAGCCGGTGACACTTGCAACTGCGCTAATTAAGACCTGCGCTATCTGATTGTTATTAGGAACAGATGTGCTTGAAAAGCTGAGGTCCATGTTGTTGACGATCGATCCATTACTGCAGAAGAAAACATTTGTTAATGTTTGAAATATCAGATTTAGGCCACTTTTCATAAACTGTCACTCGATATGTCATAAAAAAAATTACCTGAATGATTTCACTTCCAAGAACTTGAATGAAGGGAATTCCCTTTTAAAAACAGGTGTAAGCTGCAGACAGAGGAAAATACAAAGGTATACAACTTTTCACTTTACTCTCGACATTGAACTGTGAACATATGAGAGCATTCATTTGTCGTCATATACATCTCTGTCAACAATTCATTCTGGAAATGTAAGTATGAAAATATATTATATATTGACTGTTTTGTGAGTTTTTATTTATTTTATTCTTTGAGTGTGACAGTGTGTACTTGAGCTGTCCTTATTCAATATTCAGAGATCATTATTAGAGTGAGACGTACCTGTTCTTTAATCTTCGCTGCCCGATTTATATAAGCTGTAGATGATGGATTCAGCAAGTCTCTTGTAAAGTCGGTGAGAAGGGACCTGAATATCACCCTTTTTATAACGAGTGCTTCAGTTATGGGTGCAGCAGTGTTAGGTGCAGCAGGTCTAGGCGTGGGAGCTGTAGTTGGATCTGTCACTGGACTGTCTGTAAAACAAAAATCGGTTTAGCAGAGTCATATAATCTAGTTTTGAACTAGCTAATTTGAAAAACCCGTGCAGTTAATAACAATTCCTTTAATATTATTATTTTGGTTTTAAATACAAGGTAGTTAAGATAATTGATTATCATGCTTGGATGTTGTCTTCAATAATCTGTACCTTCATTTAGTTTCAAAGTAGAATCATTTAGGTGATTTATTTATCAACAGAGCATAAGTACCTCATGTTTTCTATATGTTTTACGATCTGAAAATGACTAAATACTGTGTTGTGGATACTTACCTAATATCTTCACTGAGTTGGGATTTATGCTCAAGTTGAAGGCATTGTTGGAATTATTGACAGCTTGTACGAAGTCTTTAATAACAACAGAATTCATTGGGAGTTCTGCCTGAGAAGTATTCCCATGGAACACAGCTATGAAAGTCGCCCGAGTTTCAGTAACTCGTGTTACATTTGAGGCACTGTATCAGAAACACAATGAGGAAAGTGATATGAGATTATAACATGTCTTTTGATATGTAAGATTAACTACCAATATTAGAAGATACACATGTTGAACTCTATATTAATAAATATTCAGAGAAGAACTCAAATCACAAATATTTATTTACCGGAATTCTTTCAAAAGGCAGTGGGAAAATGTGTTGGGATATTTTGTTCTGTATATGTTACCACACTGCAAAAAGAAACAACATTGAAGGATTAGCTTTCAAGCACAGTTTTCTAAAAGGCAATTATGAAGATATGCAACATTAAAAGGCCATGATTAGCTTTCATTGACATCTTAAACTTTCCATCCGATTGTTCATTCACGTTCAAACCAATTCATTTACATTTGTGCGATTTGAAAATGCACTCACCGCATTTAAAATTCTTTTTTCAAGTGCTTTGTATTCCTTGCTGCTGGTGTTAGTGAGGGCAGGGGAAAAAGCTTCTCCTATCAATTGAATGTCTAGAACGTAATTATAATCCGGGGCTGCTGTGTTTGTTGCTGCTGCAGCTGGTGTGGTTGCTGGTGCATCAGTCGTAATCGGATCTGGAACTGGACTTTCTGTAAAACAAATATATTAACAATATGTGAATACATTTTAGTGCAAACACTCAAAGGATATATTTATCCTTGTATGATGTAAAATGTACTTTGGTTACAGTTTCACAGACCAATAGGAACCATAATAAAAGGCTTTCAAAAAGTAGCCTTTGCAAACATTCTATTATCTTATCTAGTGAATGATGAGTAACGATTTATCAGTAAATAAGAGATTATTCAATTAAAAAGCTTTCTTACTGAATATAAGATAGTTTGGAGAAAAGCTCGTCCTGCATGGATTGGACTGTACAACACTGAATGTTGTTGAGGTTTTCAGTATGAGTTCAGTTGCTGACTTATTTATGAACTGAGCTTGAGCAGCAGATTCTATTCCAAATGTATTTCAAATGATGATGGTAAAATAATTTGTTATGTTTACTTACCCAACACTTTGACTGAAGCAGGGATTAATGCTCAGGTTAGGACTATTGGTGGAATTACTCAGAGCTTCTACTAAGGTTTGAGCAACAACATCATTCTGTGGGAGATCTGTGATGGCAGTAGTCCCATGGAACACAACCCCCACAGTTGCTTGAGTTTCGTTGTCTTTTGGTGGATTTAAGGCACTGTATCAAAGAAAAGAGAGGAAGAAGTGTTATACTATGATATGAGATGATCCTGGTTCTTTTTTAAATAGGTGGTTATGATTCCATCACGATTGGAAGTTACCAATGTTAAGTTCTCAATCATTCATATATAATTCAATCAGAGAAGCACACTTTGATTTTCATGTACCTGAAGTTTTTCAAAATGCAGTGGGAAAACGTGTTTGGAAACATGCTTCTGTATTTCTTATTGCACTGTGAAAAGAAAGCAACATTCAAAGACCATAAGTACATTTCAAGCACATTTGTTTACAATTGAAATTACACCTGGTCAACAGAATTTATCTTTCTATTTCAAAAAAGTTATTCTTTGGGCAAACACATTCTGTTCAATCATCTTTTTCACATTGCTTCTGCAATCAATAACAGATGTTTATTTTGAAAATGCTCTCACCGTATTTAGAGCTGCTGTTTCAAGTGCTTTGTATTCATCTCTGTTGGAGTCAGTGAGGGCAGGTGAAAAAGCCACTTCTTTAAATTCTGCTGAGAGAATATAAGTGGGTTCTGCGGGTGTTGTTGCTGCGGATGGTGTAGTTGCTGCTCTTGTTGTTGCTGATGTCATGGAAGTGCCAGTTGTAGGTGCTGCACTCGTCAGAGTAGCAGGGTTTTTTGCAACACTCGAAGGGGCTGCTGATGTGGGTGCATCAGTGGTTGCAAGGGGGGTAGATGCTGCAGTTGTGGATGCAGCTGTTGTAGGTGCAGCTGTTGTAGGTGCTGCAGTTGTAGGGGCTCCAGTCGTAGGTGCTAATGTTGTAGAAGCCTTAGTGGTAGGAGCAGCAGTTGTCGGTGCAGCTGTTGTAGGGGCTCCAGCCGTAGGTGCTAATGTTGTAGGAGCCATAGTGGTAGGAGCTGCAATTTTGGGTGCAGCTGTTGTAGGTTTGGCTGTTGTTTGAGCATCGGTTGTAGGTGAAGCAGTTGTAGGTGCTGCTGTTGTAGGTGCTGCAGTTGTAGCAGCAACAGTTGTAGGTGCTTTAGTTGTAGGAGCAAAAGTGGTAGGGGCTGCTGTTGTGGTTGATGCTGTTGTAGGTGCAGCTGTTGTAGGGGCTCCAGTCGTAGGTGCTAATGTTGTAGGAGCCATAGTGGTAGGAGCTGCAGTTGTAGGTGGAGCTGTTGTAGGTACAGCTGTTGTAGGTGCAGCTGTTGTAGGGGCTCCAGTCCTAGGTGCTAATGTTGTAGAAGCCATATTGGTAGGAGCTGCAGTTGTGGGTGCAGCTGTTGTAGGGGCTCCAGTCATAGGTGCTAATGTTGTAGGAGCCATAGTGGTAGGAGCTGCAGTTGTAGGTGGAGCTGTTGTAGGTACAGCTGTTGTAGGTGCAGCTGTTGTAGGGGCTCCAGTCCTAGGTGCTAATGTTGTAGGAGCCATAGTGGTAGGAGCTGCAGTTGTGGGTGCAGCTGTTGTAGGGGCTCCAGTCATAGGTGCTAATGTTGTAGAAGCCATAGTGGTAGGAGCTGCAGTTGTGGGTGCAGCTGTTGTAGGTTTGGCTGTCGTTTGAGCACCGGTGGTAGGTGAGGCAGTCGTAGGTGCTGCAGTTGTAGAAGCAAAAGTGGTAGGTGCTGCAGTCGTAATCGGATCTGGAACTGGACTTTCTGTAAAACAAATATATTAACAATATGTGAATACATTTTAGTGCAAACACTCAAAGGATATATTTATCCTTGTATGATATAAAATGTACTTTGGTTGCAGTTTCACAGACCAATAGGAACCATATTAAAAGGCTTTCAAAAAGTAGCCTTTGCAAACATTATATTATCTTATCTAGTGAATGATGAGTAACGATTTATCAGTAAATAAGAGATTATTCACTTAAAAAGCTTTCTTACTGAATATAAGATAGTTTGGAGAAGAGCACGTCATGCATAGATTGGACTGTACAACACTGAATGTTGTTGAGGTTTTCAGTATGAGTTCAGTTGCTGACTTATTTATGAACTGAGCTTGAGCGGCACATTCTATTCCAAATGTATTTCAAATGATGATGGGAGAATATTTTCTTGTGTTTACTTACCCAATACTTTGACTGAAGTGGAATTAATGCTCAGGTTAGGAATATTGTTCCAATTACTCAGAGCTTCTACTAAGGTTTGAGCAACAATATCATTCTGTGGGAGATCTGTGATGGCAGTAGTCCCATGGAACACAACCCCCACAGTTGCTTCAGACCCTTGAGGTGTATTTAAAGCACTGTAAAAAAGAAGGGAAGGGGACAAGTATTATATTATGACTTGAGATGATTCTGTTGCCTTGTTTAATGTGTTCTTATGACACAATTAGGGTTAGAGATACACATTTTAAGACTGAAATCTTGCATTTAGAATTCAATCAGAGAAGCACTCTAGGAAAATCTTCTTACCTGAGGCTTTTCAAACGGCAGTCAGAAAACGTAGTTGGGAATTTGAGGCTGTATTTCTCGTTACACTGCAAAAGAAAGCAACATTCAAAGACCTTGATTATTGTTTAAGAACATTCTTTCTAAACAGATATGACAGTTGTAAAAACATTCTGTACAATTATTTTTTCATACTGCTGTATCAATGGCAAATGCATATTTTGAAAATGCTCTTACCGCATTTTGTATTGTTCCTTTAAGTGCTTTGTATTCATCGCTGTTGGAGTTACTGAGGGCAGGTGAATAAGTCAGTCCTATCAGTTCTGCTGAGAGAATATACGTGGTTTCTGATCCCACAGTGTTTGTTGCAACAGGTGTAGTTTGTGTGACAGTGTTAGGGTCTGCTGTCGTAGATGCTGCAGTTGAAAGTGCAGCTCTTGTTGTTGCTGATGTCATGGAAGTGCCAGTTGTAGGTGCTGCACTCGTCAGAGTAGCAGGGTTTTTTGCAACACTTGAAGGGGCTGCTGATGTGGGTGCATCAGTGGTTGCAAGGGGGGTAGATGCTGAAGTTGTGGATGCAGCTATTGTAGGTGCAGCTGTTGTAGGTGCAGCTGTTGTAGGTGCAGCTGTTGTAGATGCAGCTGTTGTAGGTGCAGCTGTTGTAGGTTTGGCTGTCGTTTGAGCACCAGTGGAAGGTGAGGCAGTTGTAGGAGCAAAAGTGGTAGGGGCTGCTGTTGTGGTTGATGCTGTTGTAGGTGCAGCTGTTGTAGGGGCTCCAGTCATAGGTGCTAATGTTGTAGGAGCCATAGTGGTAGGAGCTGCAGTTGTAGGTGCAGCTGTTGTAGGTGCAGCTGTTGTAGGTGCAAGTGTTGTAGGGGCTCCAGTCGTAGGTGCTAATGTTGTAGGAGCCATAGTGGTAGGAGCTGCAGTTGTAGGTGCAGCTGTTGTAGGTTTGGCTGTCGTTTGAGCACCGGTGGTAGGTGCTGCAGTTGTAGGAGCAAAAGTGGTAGGGGCTGCTGTTGTGGTTGATGCAGTTGTAGGTGCAGCTGTTGTAGGGGCTCCAGTCGTAGGTGCTAATGTTGTAGAAGCCATAGTGGTAGGAGCTGCAGTTGTGGGTGCAGCTGTTGTAGGGGCTCCAGTCGTAGGTGCTAATGTTGTAGAAGCCATAGTGGTAGGAGCTGCAGTTGTTGGTGCAGCTGTTGTAGGGGCTCCAGTCGTAGGTGCTAATGTTGTAGAAGCCATAGTGGTAGGAGCTGCAGTTGTGGGTGCAGCTGTTGTAGGTTTGGCTGTCGTTTGAGCACCGGTGGTAGGTGAGGCAGTCGAAGGTGCTGCAGTTGTAGAAGCAAAAGTGGTAGGTGCTGCAGTCGTAATCGGATCTGGAACTGGACTTTCTGTAAAACAAATATATTAACAATATGTGAATACATTTGAGTGCAAACACTCAAAGGATATATTTATCCTTGTATGATGTAAAATGTACTTTGGTTGCAGTTTCACAGACCAATAGGAACCATAATAAAAAGGCTTTCAAAAAGTAGCCTTTGCCAAACATTCTATTATCTTATCTAGTGAATGATGAGTAACGATTTATCAGTAAATAAGAGATTATTCAATTAAAAAGCTTTCTTACTGAATATAAGATAGTTTGGAGAAGAGCACGTCATGAATAGATTGGACTGTACAACACTGAATGTTGTTGAGGTTTTCAGTATGAGTTCAGTTGCTGACTTATTTATGAACTGAGCTTGAGCGGCACATTCTATTCCAAATGTATTTCAAATGATGATGGGACAATATTTTCTTGTGTTTACTTACCCAATACTTTGACTGAAGTGGAATTAATGCTCAGGTTAGGAATATTGTTCCAATTACTCAGAGCTTCTACTAAGGTTTGAGCAACAATATCATTCTGGGGGAGATCTGTGATGGCAGTAGTCCCATGGAACACAACCCCCACAGTTGCTTCAGACCCGTGAGGTGTATTTAAGGCACTGTAAAAAAGAAGGGAAGGGGACAAGTATTATATTATGACTTGAGATGATTCTGTTGCCTTGTTTAATGTGTTCTTATGACACAATTAGGGTTAGAGATACACATTTTAAGACTGAAATCTTGCATTTAGAATTCAATCAGAGAAGCACTCTAGGAAAATCTTCTTACCTGAGGCTTTTCAAACGGCAGTCAGAAAACGTAGTTGGGAATTTGAGGCTGTATTTCTCGTTACACTGCAAAAGAAAGCAACATTCAAAGACCTTGATTATTGTTTAAGAACATTCTTTCTAAACAGATATGACAGTTGCAAAAACATTCTGTACAGTTATTTTTTCATACTGCTGTATCAATGGCAAATGCATATTTTGAAAATGCTCTTACCGCATTTTGTATTGTTCCTTTAAGTGCTTTGTATTCATCGCTGTTGGAGTTACTGAGGGCAGGTGAATAAGTCAGTCCTATCAGTTCTGCTGAGAGAATATACGTGGTTTCTGATCCCACAGTGTTTGTTGCAACAGGTGTAGTTTGTGTGACAGTGTTAGGGTCTGCTGTCGTAGATGCTGCAGTTGAAAGTGCAGCTCTTGTTGTTGCTGATGTCATGGAAGTGCCAGTTGTAGGTGCTGCACTCGTCAGAGTAGCAGGGTTTTTTGCAACACTCGAAGGGGCTGCTGATGTGGGTGCATCAGTGGTTGCAAGGGGGGTAGATGCTGAAGTTGTGGATGCAGCTATTGTAGGTGCAGCTGTTGTAGGTGCAGCTGTTGTAGGGGCTCCAGTCGTAGGTGCTAATGTTGTAGAAGCCTTAGTGGTAGGAGCAGCAGTTGTCGGTGCAGCTGTTGTAGGGGCTCCAGCCGTAGGTGGTAATGTTGT